ACATAGAGGGAGGCAACTCCAGCACAGTTTTGCCCCCTGGGAAGTGGTCCTGGAGCAAAGTGTACTCAGGATTCAAACAGAGCAGCTACACACAAAGCTTACTTCAAAAGAGATCCTGAATCACAGAGCGGTTGAGGTTGGAAGGGACCTCCAGAGATCATCTAGTCCAACCCCCTGCTCCAGCAGGGACACCSAGAGCACGGGGCACAGGGCAGCATCCAGGCGGGTTTGGAAGACCTCCAGAGAAGGAGCCTCCACAGGCTCCCTGGGCAGCCTGTGCCAGGGCTCTGCCACCCTCACAGTGAAGAAGTTCCTCCTCACATGGAGATGAAGCTGCCTGTGCTTTAATTTATACCCATACGCTCATGGAGGTGCCCTCTGGCCAGCTGGGGATCAGAAGATGAGCATAACGTGTGGGACCAAGTTGTCTGACAAAGCAGAGGGAGAGGCTGGTTACAGGTCGGATCGGGATGGCGGTGACCCCTTCCACACCCAGCTCTAGAGGACGGTACTGACCATCGGCCATGCACAAATCCCTGCCTGTGCTCTGCAGGCGGAGCGAGTGAGCAGCTCTCTACCCCGGGGAGCAGAGTGCTCAGGCGGTCTCGGCCTCACACCTCCTCTAGCACCTTGTGTTTTTTGCGGTACTAGTTACAYCACTGACAAGAATTCAGTTACTTGAGGCCTCACGAGGAGAGACCCAGCAGAGCACAAGCAGCGCTCCCTTCCTCAGTGCCAGCTCTGGACAGCAGGGCACAGGGGGGACCCTGCTGGGAGTGACCCAAGCTGGAAGGCAGCGACCTCGTCTTTCCACCGTTCCGCCTTATCCCGTGGTGGCAAAGACCGCTGAGAGCAAACCGTGAGAGCGCTGCATCGGAGGTGCCAGCAGAGGCCCATCTCGCCCCTCGGGGTCGCGCTGAAGGAAGGTGCCCGGGAAGCGCTGCTGACACGGGCCGCTAGTTGGCATTACTGACACGCTGCTGCTCGAGGAGGTGGTGCCAGGAGAACCGCGGTGCGGCCAGCCGGGACCTGAGGCGTCTCCCAGACCTCGGAGCACTGGGGCACAGCCCCGTGAGGCTGGAGGCTGGTCGCTGTGTCCCTGCAGCTCCTTCCTCGCCCGCCCATCTCCTTGGGTTTCCTGTTGCTGATGCTGCCGCCGTCAGGTTTCCCGTGAGGAGAGGAGCTGACGGCCACTTCTCCTGCTCTGCCCAGGAGGAATTTCTGCATGCTCAATCTGCCTGCCAGGGCTTTGGTCATGGCAGGCGTTACGCAGCGTTTGGACCCTCCCTGCAATGTTCAAGGCCTGCCACGTTCATAATTTCAAATGCAGTAATAATTTGCCAGTAACTTGCGTGGAAGCACTTTGGGAGCGCRGGGCTGCCAGGAGCCAGCTCGTCTTGTGCAACAAATGGGTGTGTGCGTTTTTGAAAGAGCCTTTTGTTACGGAGGGTGCTGGAACCGGACCTGGCCTCATCTGCTTTGACTGGCAGGAGTTTTATGTCTGAAGACCCGATAAATAAACTGCCACTGTTGAAAGAATCATGAATTAAGGTACCGGTGTTGCTTGAGGTAGGCTCTGCTTGGCAGAATGAGAGCAAGTCAGCCCAGAGTGGAGTAGGAATAGAAGTCATAGGAAGAATCTGCATAGAATAGAAAAACCAAGCACTCTTCTTTAAACTAAAATAAAAGTCTTATTAAAATGATCTTTTATAAAATAGTTTTCATTCACCTGTGGAGACTAATGTTTCGTAAAGTAAATTCCAGGATCATTACTGAATGGCAATGGTCGGAACACTGCCCACCGCTCCCTGTATGCGTTTTGTAAGTGAAATCCATATTTGGCTTGAAATGCACTTTTAAATGTGAAATTCTAAAGACGATTACAGACCACTACAATGCCAGCCCTAATTTTTTGGATTATATATGTCTATGATTCACGTTAAAAGGTAAAATCCATTTTCCTTAGTTGTGGGAGACCCTAAAGAACAGATTAAGCTGCCATTACGCTGAAAACTGTTTCCTTTCCTGGTTACGTGGCAACAGTGCAATTCCAGAACTAAAGCATCTCTGATCGTAAAATGCCTTTTAACAAAGAAATGATTAAAATAGCTACCTGGGGCTGAGATATCTTAATTGAGATCTAAGGATTTGAGAGCAAGGGAGAATCACCTCTTGCATGTTTAAAACATAAGGCCCCATTCCCCAGACTCTTCCTTGCGTAGCAAACTTAACTGAAACCAGGGAGAGGGTTCACACGAGAGGCAGCTCCCGATTAGGGAGCAAATGATTTTTTAACTTTATTAGACCATGTGCTGTTTGTGGCACTACTTAGTGCCCGCTTTGGTTTTATAGATTGCATGGCAAATTTTGCTATGCTTGCATAAATTCACCCTAAAGCTTGAAACAACAAGCAGTCTTTGGAAAAGAAAATTATGTGAGTGTGTAATTCCAAACAAAACTCTTCCTTTGCCTGATAGGATAAAAAATATTTAAAAAATATAAAGTAATTCCCTCCTGTGTGCTCATGACTGGTTAAATTCATTTTATGTTGCACCTGTCACTTGTTTTTTAACACCATTAAAACACGTATAATAACCTAAATTATAGCGCTCCAATTTATATAATATGCTTTAGAAATACTGTGGTGTTTAACTGCATATTTTTGAGGCAACCAGAGTGCTGAAGGCACCATAATCACACCCTTACGTGAACCAACCCACGCTTCTAATGCTTGTGTTTCCGAAGATGGAGAGCTCAGTAGAAACCAAGGAATCTGAAGCACTTTTTTTTTAGAAAAAGCAGAAATCTGAGGAATCTCCCCAGGTCAATAACGCGAGTAAATCAGTAACGCTGTTCCTGGCAGGCCCCGCACTTCACCTGTGTTTCGTTTCGGCTCCGCATGGTTATTTACGGGCTAGTCCCTGCGGAGGGTCATGAATGTGTGCGCAGGGAGCACCCTGGGCACAGAGCTGCCGTCGCACCCGTGTCCCTGCCCGCTATGAGCAATGCCCAGCGCAGGCGACGCGGGCGCCTCGTGGCTGAGAGCTCACGTCTCCCTCCTCGCCTGGCGCTTGGCGCCAGGAAAAGGCGAAAAGCTCCCTCTTCCCACCTCCGCCGTGGGGATGTGGGTTTGTGCTGGCTTCAAACGCGCCCACAGGCATCAACCCCGTCCCCTTCCTCCCTGCAGGGCTTTGGCAGGGTGGCTCCACACCCCACATCCACAGGGCCCCTGTCAGGGAGGAAGGGAGCRCGAGGAAGGTGAAGCGCCATGGTGCCCAAGCAGCCACCCCCAAGGGCTGCAGAGGCTCCCCCCAACCCAGGCAAGAGGCGCAGGCTCTATATAATCATATAGGCGTATATGTAAGTGTATACGAGCGCACATAAGTGTGGTTTAACGCGCAGAGAGACGCGCGGACAACCGCGTGCCGGTGCCCCCCCGCCCCCAACGGCCGCGCCCCGCCCCAACGGCCGCGCCCCGCCCCAACGGCCGCCTTTCCGGGAAGCGCCGCCCCGCGCCCCGCCCGCCGCCGCCGGGGCGGAGCCGCTATAAGGGGCTGCGGCGGCGGCTGCCGCC